GGGCGAGACAGTGGGCCCCGCGGCACCCGCCCCTGGCGGAGGCCAGGGCCGCGCGCCGCCGCCGCCGCTGCAGTGGGGCGGCGCGGATGGCGAGCTGCGGTCCCCGGGGCCGCGGTCCGCCCACCTGGGCTTGGAGGCGTCCCCTCTGGCTCAGGTGTACGACGAGACGGTGGGCCAGCTGCTGGAGGTGCTCGCAGAGAAGGACCGGCTGCAGGGGCGCGTGACGATGCTGGAGCGGCAGATGCAATGCAAGGACGAGCAGCTGCAGCTGTTCGCAACGTAGGTGGACAGGCAGTGTGGGCGCGCGTTTGGGGGCGGTCAGTGGGAGGGACCGCTCTGCAAGCCATGGCATACAAAGCGGGCCCCCTGCCATACCACCACTTCCGGCTCCCTGTCCTCGCACCCCACTCTTGCCGGCCCCCACGCCCACGACCCACCCTGGCCGCTGCTACACCGTGGCCTCGCAGGACGCTGAGGACGCCGCGCTCTCACCATGAATCTGAATCTTCTGGCCACGACGGCGCCGACCACGCCAGCACCGGCAGCAGCAGCGGCGGCAGCGACGCCGCCGACGGCGCCGGGCCGGCAGCCACGGTGGCGACGGCGGTGGGCGGCATTGCGGAGCTGACAAGCCGCCTGATTGGCGGGGGCCTTCGGGAGGAGGGCTCCCAGCCGCTATTGGATCACGAGCAGGGGGAGCTTGGAGTGGCGGCAAACGCCGGGGCCTCGCGCTGCGCACCGGCGGCCGACGAGGGCGGCGATTCCGACTGCGCCGGGCCGCAGGGCGCACATGTCCGCGGCGGCCGCCCTGCGCCGCAGCTGCCGCCGCTGAAGCTGGAGGAGGCGATCGGGGCGGAGCGGCTGTCGCTGTCGCTGAGCGGCGGCGCGTCCGCGGCGGCAGACAGCGGCGCGGACGCGGGGACGCCGAAGCAGCCGGACTCACCGCCAGGGCGGCCGCGTGAGACGACGTTCCCGCGGCTGCTGCCGCCACCGCCGCCGGCGATGGCGCTGCCCGCCGCGCTGAGCGCGCTGCGCTTCGTCCTGCTGCACCAGTGTGCCGCGCAGCCCAGCGATGGCCCCGCGGCTGCGCTGGCGGGCGGCGCCTATGGCGACGGGCCGCTGTGGGCGGCGGCGGCGGCGGTAGAGCTGCTGGGGCTGCGGCGCTGCTACCGGCGGCTGGACATGGCCTCGTACCTGGCGCACTGGCAGCGCTACAACGTGGTGCACGCAGAGGGCCGCGCGGCAGAAATGGCGGCAGCCGAAGAGGCGCTGCGCCGCGAGGAGGACGCCGCGGCGGAGGAGGACGGGGCGGTCGCCAGGGCCGTCGCGGCGGCCCGCGCGGCGCGCACGGCAGCGGCGGAGGACTCCGCGGCGGCGGCGGCCATGGTGGCGGCGGACGCACGCGCAGCGCGTGTGTGGGAGCTGGCACGGCTCGCGGTTGGCGCGCAGGCCGCGCCGCAGGCACCCGGGGAGCCGGCGGGGGGCGGCGCAGTGTCGATGGCAGCGCTGGGCGCGGCGGCGCCGCTGGTGGTGGGCCAGGACCCCGACCCCTTGGCCCGCCTGCCGGCCTGCCGCGCGCCCATGCTCTTTGCGGATGCGCCAAGCCGCTTCTCATCCGCCGCCGCCGACGCCGAGCGGCGCCGAGCGGTGGCCCTCAAGCGGCCGTCTGCGGCGCCGGCCAAGGCGGGGCTGGTCGACGCCTCGAGGGCGGCGCGCGCAGTGGCGCGCTTCCTGGAGGTTGCGCCGCCCAGCGCCTACAGCCAGAGCGTGCGCGAGGCGCGCAGCGAGGTGGTGTCGCAGATCGGCTCGGTGGGTGGCAGCACAGCGATGCGAAGATGCGCTCGGGAGCGGACCGCTGAGGATCGAGCCGCCTCACTCCTGTTTGGACGCATCAGCTGCGGAGCTCTTGCCTTGAAAATACCATTGCACGCGCCCTTTGGCGCATGCTCCCCAACCGGGCAACCCATGTATGAAGGCCACCTCTTGCACCCAACCCTTGCCCCAGCTAACCCCATTTTCAACCCCGGCCACCGACCTCCCAGAGTGCTGCCAGTGACATCATCAAGGGCAACGAGCGCTACCAGCTGCCGCCAGGCCTGCTGACCAGTGACCTGCGGGCTGCAGCCGCCGGCCCTGACGACCAAGCTCACAACACACTGTCAACACAGCAGGGCGCCCTGCTGCTTGGCGCCAAGGTAGCGGCCATGTCTGGGGCTGCTGCGGGCACCGTGCACGCAGGTGGCGTGGAGGCTGGAAGAATCCCTGGAGCTGGCGCGCCTGGCGCGCTGGGCACGCGCGGCAGGGCCCTGCTCGGGCGGCTGGCGGGCGTGAGGCGCAACTCATGAAGCCCTGTTTTGTTTGACCTGTCGTTCACCGACGCAATCGCTGTGAGGTGTGTTTTAGCCAGGAGGTTCTTGAACTCTTACAAGGGCTGGGGCCTGTCTGGGGACATTGGCCGGCGTCGAGGCAAAGTCATATCTACCGTAGTCGATGGAGAATTTTCACCACTCTCATGTGGGATGTTTGTATGCCCGCAGTTCAGCCAGGCAGATGGATAAGCCAACGCAACTTGAGTGCATGCTCGCGGCCCTTATTTCACAGTGTATGTTTTGATTGCCCTTATTTCGTGTTCTGGCAACACTGGCGTAGCCCGGCTGCATTGTGAGTCAACACTGGCGCAGGCGCACAAAGCACACTGCAGCTTGTAATAGAAACAACCACACTCGCTGTTTTGCTTTGCGTTTGCGCTTTGTATGCACTGCATTCAGGGGGTGTTTGAATCAAATAGCTGGAAGCTGTCTGGGCTGAAACAGCAGTCAGTGATGATGATGAACAAATATAATTGTAGCTGGCGGAAAAAATGCAATCGTTTGGGAAGTCTGTCTAGTTACCTGGATCTACCATCTAAAGCCGCAGCCACACATGGCGCGCTGCGACAATATGCTCATATGGAGACCATTTGCACACATCCACCACGCTCTGTCAGTGCAGTCGCCCATCGCTGGTATGAAAGTATTTCTGAGGCGCACTGCGCACTGATTAGCAATCAGAGAATGGATGACAACCTCAATTAGCCCGAGGTCACAGGGCTGGATGAAGGCTTGAGGCTGGCCACCAGCGTGCGCAGCGTTGCTGTGGTGAGCCCCAGGCCATTGAGCGCTGATGTGAGGCTGACGATAGACTTGGCCACGGGAGTGCCCCCAGATTGGTAGGGATTCACGGGGCTGATGGAATAGCCAGAGGATGCACTCCAGGGCGCCCCACCGGGACTGCCAGCTGCCCAGCTGCCCAGCGAGAAGGTCTGGGGCGCGGGCACACCGACAGAGCCGTACCGCGCCGAAACGATGACTGTGCTGGGATTGGCCTGGTAGTAGGTCGAGTCCAGGGCAGCGGTGGTGGACGCGCGAGGACTGTAGACGAGGCTGGTTGACGGCGAGGGCGAGGGGGCAGCTGCTGCCTTGGGTGCTGTGATGTCCACCACGAGCACTGCCGTCCCATCGGGGGCTTTGGCGCTGCCGGCAACGCCAACAACCAGGGCGCGGCCTGTTTCGGCCATTGCCAGCGCCGCCCCAAAGCCGCTTCCAGCCTCTCCGGTGAGAGTGCTGTCGAGGGTGGCCGGGCATGTGCCATCACTGTACGCGCGTTTACCCCCCAGGGGGATGCTCCAGATGAAGATGCTGTCGAGCGAGTTGCTGACAGCCAGGCGCAGCGTGTTGGAGGCCAGAGTCATCGCCAGCTTGGTGTAGCCTGTGGTGGGCGGCAATTGATTTACGCATAAAATTTGCAGTGTGGGTTCGCTCCATATCGGGGACACTGGTCAAGTATGAGGCAGATTTTTTGCTTGATAACGGTCATATGGGGTGTGGCTACTTCATGCAATTGCCTGTCAATGTTCATGCGGATGCAGGTCGGTCTGTGTGCAGGTTGCAGTGCATATGTTTTGGCACCTACATACAGCGAGGGCCTCTCCAGCCGCCTGTGCCAACCCTGGCCACCTCAGCCAAATGCCGAATTGCAACAAGGGCCCAGCCCCCATATGTCCGCGGCACTCACTTGGCTCAAGGTTCATGTCCTCCCCCACGAGGGTGCAGCGCTTGTTGTACACAAACTTCCCAGTGGACAGCACACCCTCTCGCACATACACGTAAACGTCGCTGGCCTGCACAACTGCGATGTGGCTGCCGCTCTCAGTCATCACAAACGTGCCGTCAGAGCCCGGGGTTTTGAGTGTGGCTGAATAGGCAAAGGCGCCATTTGCCAGGCGCCGGTAGATGACGATTGCTGGGGCGCCGGCTGTGGGCTTTGATGCGTCCATGACGCGCGTGCTGACTGCAAGGACGGTACCATCTGCCACCACGTAGCTGTTAGCCCCGAAGAACTGGGTCTTGGCGTAAGAGGGAGCCAAGCGGAGCAGGTCCGCCTGGGCGCGGGCGTAGCTGTTGTTGCCAAGGCGGCGGTACAGCTGCGCGCAGCCCGCAGCGGTGCCGGATGGGGCGCCATAGGGATCATCTGACGACGAGTCGAGCCCTTCGCCGTAGACACTCCAGGACACCAGCACTAGCCGCCCGTCCCTCGAGATGGACAGGCTCCCAGAATACACGCTCCCCGGGGTGCCGCCGTCTGTCCCTTCAGTAGGGGCCCCAAGCAGTGCAAGCTGCTGGTGAAACACAAAACCGCCGGTGCTGTCGTTGCTCTGACGCCGGTATATGTACACCTGGGCTTGGGTGCCGTCCTCCACCAGCGCCCCCGCTACGGCCATCCACCGCCCGTCGCGTGAAATGGCTGTCATCATGCCCAGCGAGGCGGCAGGGTCCGCCTCATCAGAGTCGGGTGGGGTTGGCAGCGCATATGACTGGTAGGCACAGAGTTTGACCTGGTTGTAGTTGTACACCAACCCGTTCTCAGCATCGGGCTGGCCGACTGCGACAGTGCTGGCAGCAGAGTCGGAGGACACGGAGAAGCCGAAGGAGCCGCCCTCCACCACAGGGGCCTGCAGGGGCGTGCCATTCGAGCTGCAGTAGGACGGCGCCCCCGCCAGCGCCCTGCATACACACATGATGTTGAGAGATGCGGCAAATGTTACACAGTGTGAAAGTCCCTGCGCACAGGTGAAAAACAGGTTGACACTGCACATGTCACAGCACACATGTACCTACAGCAGACTACGTGGGGTCGAGGCGCACCTGCGCGAAGCCCACACAATTGATGCAAGAGACAACAGCTGGAGCATGCACAGCTTTCTGTGCGACAACGCCCTGCTGGTCGCCATCATCATGCTAGCATGCCACAGGTGTGGGAGCCAGCCAGCTCCTTGCCCCCACCAGGGCGCCTGCGCGTCAGCTAAGGTAGAGGCAGGTAAAAGAACCCTAAAAGCGTGTATGGACGCTTTTGATGGTGCCGAGGGCACAACTGTGGCGCTGGACGGACACGCAGACGTCTCAGGTCGTCGGGACTCAGCGAAGCGCGGAGTTTACAAGCTAAGCGATATTACATGTTTCAAGCTAAGTCACGATTGCAAGTACCGTTGTCCCTTGCTGGTGTCGGCTGGCACTTTCTTTTTGCAGTGGAAGCTGGGCTGCTACCTGCCCGCAGCACCGATCCAACCGCCCACGAGCCTTGGTCAGGTGTCCTGTGACAAGAAGAGATGCGAGGGAATGTGAAACATGCCAAGAACGCATTCAATCAGGATGTGGAAATGGTGTGATAGGTGGTTGGCTGCTGGCAGAGAGTGTCATGGGTGCAGTTCGAAGCAGGGACGCGGGTTTATTTGCTTGTATTGGCTCTGGTACCATCAAGTGATTCCATAAATTTCTATGTTAGAGGCTGTACACGTCTAGCATCTCGTACTATATCCCACTCACCACAGCTGGGCTCTGGCTCCCCATTCTGGCTGTGCCTCCTTGTGCTCTCGCTGCTTATTACAGTATGTCCGCTCTCTGCGACCTAACCCCAACAGTCATGTGCCGATGGTGTGTGGATTACTGGCGAGGTCTGCGCCCCCAGGTATTCATAAAGAGGTTTGTGATCCACACAATTCATAGACCAACACACACTCACACACATCGCTTCAAGAGGACCAAAACTGAGCCTCCTTCAAACTATTGCTACAAAGCAATGCAGCCTACACATGTACAGTTTTGGAGGCAGCAGTGAGGTAGTTTGGGGGCATTGTCATCATGCTTAAGAGGACTAAGCCATGTTGATGAACGGGGCGTATTGTGCGGGGCGCAAATGCTCTGGCACGGCCCCCGTGCTGTATTGCAGTATGGAGCCACCCGGCATGGTGCCAGCGGACGTGTCAACTTGCCAAACGTACAACGCACGCGCGAGGGTGAGGCAGCAAAAAAATTGCTACTAGTGCCCCGCCGAAAGGCTGGCTGGGCGCAGCGCGGCGGTGGACAGGCCGAGGCCGCCAAGGGCGGACAGCAAGCTGAGCGCCCCGCTGGCCTGGATGGGCTTGCCGCCTGAAATGTACGGGTTGTTTGGGGCAATCGAGTAGCCCAGGTTTGGGTTGTAGGGCGCACCACCCGGGCTGCCCTTGGCCCACGAGTTGAGGTCAAATGGCTGAGGGGCTGCGGGAGCATGGATGAGGCGGCACAGGGGGGGTGGACATGCGTGGATTCAGTAGGGCAAAGTGCAGCACTGTAAGGGTGCACTGGTCCGGCATTGGCTCTGACAGCGCCGTTTCATGCAGGAGGGTTTGGGGAGCCTGAAACTGCCGAAGGTCACAAAGGCACCCTGCTACCACGCGCTTTGCTCACCTGGCACCCCGACATTGCCACGGCGTGCAGAAACAAGCACCGTGCTTGGATTTTGCTGGAAATAAGAATTGTCCAGGGCGATACTGCTGGCCCTAGGGTTGAACATCAGCCCAGCCGGCCCCGTTGGCTGGCCTGGCTTTGGGGCTGGGGCTGGTGCCTTTGGTGCTGAGATGTCCACCACCAGCACCGTGGCGTCGGGGGCCTTTGCGCTGCCAGGGATTCCGACAACCAGTGTGCGGCCGTTTTCCGCCATCGCCAGTGCTGCCCCAAACTGGCTGCCTGCCTCGCCGGTCAGGGTGCGGTCGAGGGTCGCAGGGCAGCCGCCATCCTTGTAGGCGCGCTTGCCTCCCAGAGGGATGCTCCACAGAAACACAGAGTCTAAGGAGTTGCTGACAGCGAGGCGCAGGGTGTCGTTGTTTGCCACAGTGATGGCCATGCGTGTATAAGCTGCGATAAGTTGAGAGGGATGAGAGCGCGAGCAGGCAGGTGACAGGGTGTATGGGTGATAATCAAAGGGCATATCTTGTGCGCACTCCCATTCAACCCTCCAACAATCTAGACACCACAGGTGTGGCTACTGCTTGCTTCCTCCATACCTGAGATCCCCTCGCTCCATGCACTACATGTGCATAACCCCACTCCCGCCACACTCACTGGGCTCAAGGTTCATGTCCTCCCCCACCAGGGTGCAGCGCTTGTTGTAGACCGTCTTCCCGGCAGAGAGGTCGCCCTCCCGCACGTACACGTGCACGTCACTGCCGCGCACGACAGCGAGGTGGCTGCCGCTTTCCGCCATCACAAACGTACCGTCAGACCCAGGGGTCTTAAGTGTCGTGAGCAGCTCAAAAGAGCCGGACGCAGTGCGGCGGAAGATCACAATCGCGGGGGAGCCCGCGCCGGCCCGCGCCTTATCGATCACGCGTGTGCTGATGGCGATGACATTGCCGTCCCCCACCACGTAGCTGTTGGCTCCAAAAAATTGCGTCTTGGCGTATGGGGGCGCAAGGCGTGAAAGGTCTGCCTGGGCACGCGAGTAGTGGCCGGCGTCGTTGCGGCGGTACAGCTGCGCGCTGCCCTGCACCCCCAGCGAGGGTGCACCGTAGGGGTCCTCTGATTCTCCGCTGAGGCCCTGGCCGTACACGCTCCAAGACACCAGCACCAGCCGGCCCTCGCGCGACAGCGACAGGCTGCCCGCGTACACTCGACCAGACCCGCCGCTGCCCTGCGGGGGCGCTGGCTGCAGCGCGAGCTTTTGATGGAACAGAAATCCGCCGGTGCTGTCGTTGCTCTGCCGCCGGTATATGTACACCTGAGCCATTGTGTTGCTGGCTTCCAGGGCTCCGGCAACTGCCAGCCACCGGCCATCACGTGACATCGCCGTCATCATGCCCATTGTGCCCGGCGGCGCCGCTGCCGCGTCCACGCCGGCCGCCGCTAGCTGAGCGGGCGTGGGGATGGGCAGGTCGTAGGACTGGTAGGCGCAGAGGGCCACCTGGTTGTAGGCGTACATCAGCCCCTGCCCGCCCTCCGCATCTGGCTGCCCCACAGCAATGGTGGCACCAGTCTCGTCGGTCGACACTGCAAAGCCAAACGAGCCTCCCTCCACCACAGGCGTCTGAAGCGGCGTGCCAGTTGTACTGCAGTAAGTCGGCGCCCCAGCGAGCAAGCTGCACGCGTCCGTGTCCGCAGCGCGGGGGTGAAGGGAGTGGGGCGCATATGGGGGGTTTCAGTTTCGGTCGTCGCCGCTCACCCGTTGCGCAAGCCCACGCTGCACCATGCCGAAAACTTCGTCGGAGCGCACCACGGCGACACAAATACGCTCGAGATCAAAGTAGAGTACCGTGTCTGCAACGATGCCCCTGCCGTGCCTCCCGCGCCCCGCGCTCGTGTTACAGCTTGAGCAGCTGCTCTCACCTGCGAGAGCAGAGCGCCAGTGTACCCAGAAACACCACTAATTGTCTAAAACGGATCGTTTGTTTTGCAGGAGCCATCTAACGTGGGCCGAATCGGCCCCTGTGCGTCGCCAACAGCGGGTTTGTGGAGTGTATCTACACGCGAGCATATGTAGGAGGGCGTTGTTTTACACAACACGCATTAGATTCGCTGCGCATTCTGTATGATACCGCTTGAAGATGGCGTCGCCTGAAACTCGCAAAGTGGTGCATCTGATGAGCACCCTGCAGCGCACACTGGTCTGGCGCGATGTGATGCCCAAAAGCACCTAGGACTGCAGTTCACATCAACACATACCCCTGCACTCAAGCAAAAAGACTTGACCTGTCTGCGTTTTGACTTCCACTTTCTTGCCGTATGCTGCACCAACTTGGTGCATTCGGCCGGCAAGAGGGTCATCGTGATGCTGTGTCTTTGCAAGTGCCACGAGCTACCCATGTAAATTACATTTTCAGCATCACTCACTGTTCCGCAGCTCCTTGGGCCGGAGTTGGCTGCTGCGGTTGCTGCTGCTGTTGCGCGCTGCCCGCGCCGCCGGCCACGAGTGCCAGCCCGGAGGGCAGCTCCTTGACGCGCCGCGCCAGGTGCTCCGCCACGCTGTCCAGCGCCACCACCTCCTCTGTCTTGGCGGCCATGTCCTTCACCTTGACCACGCCCCGCGCCAGCTCGTCGTCGCCAAACAGCACCATGAGGGGCACGCCCTGCTCCAGCGCGTAGCCCAGCTGGTCCCCCATTTTAGGGTTGGGCTTGAAACCAAATTCAGCCTTGACGCCCGCAGCCCACAGCTTGCTTGCCAGCTCCATGCGCTTGGCCTGTAGTGTGTGTGTGTGGGGGGGGGGGAAGGGGGCCGGTGCAGAGGGTCAAAGTGAGGTGAAGGGGGCCGGTGCATGCATACATGCCTGCGCGCACATCTGTGAGCGAGTGCATCTGTGCGTGCATGTGTGTACATCTGCGCGTGCTGGCTCATGGGTGGCGAGACAGTGGCTGCTTGGAACGCCAGTGTGAGCAGTAGGATGCGACAAACACATGGCAAATGCATAGGCTTGCATTGCAACCAGCCCTTTGGGTGGCACGTGTCCACCCGGGCAGCCACGCCTGCCCAGCAGCGCTGCGCTTTTCCACAACGCCCACATGCCCCTCTCACCTGCAGCCCGTTGCCAATGGAAGCCACCAGCACCTGCGTCTCCGTGGCGCGAATGGCCGCGCCCTGCTCCGCTGCGCGCGCCCTGAGCTGGCCCTCCATGATGGCAAAGACGCGCTCAATGCCGATGCTCACGCCCACCGCCGGGACGTCCTTGCCGCTGAACATGCCCACCAGCCGGTCATAACGGCCACCTTGGGGGAGGCGCAGCGTGGGCAGGTGAGGCGAAGCAGTTTGGTTTGAGATAGGGCGTGCGGACCTTCAGGTGCGACGCGAAGCAAGCAACTGTGCAGGTAAGGTGAATGGATAGCTCCAGCAGCCCGCGAGCGCAAGCTGCTGCTGGTTGAGTCTGGTGTGCCGCAGCAATCTGCCGGGGCCACGCAAGCCCCGCACTCAGGAAGCACACACGCCTGTACCCTCACCACCCCGCCGCGCCCCCCGCCTCACCCGCGGCGATGGACCCGACGTTGGACCCGAGCAGCACGGCCTCGTAGATGACGCCCGTGTAGTAGTCCAGGCCGCGCGCCAGGCTCAGGTCAAACACCAGGCGGTGCAGCGCCCCCATCGCGTCCAGGTAGCCAAACAGGAGGCCCATCTCGGCCAGGGCCGCCGCGCTGGCAGGGTGCTGCGCCAGCGCGTGGTCAGGCGCCGTCAGCCTGGCCAGCAGCTCCTTGGGCTCGCCCCTGAGATGTGACATGGATGACAGTTCGTGTGTGTGTAAACGTGCGCGGTGCGCCCATGAGTGCATGCGCGCGCGCGCGCGCGCGTGTGTGTGTGTGTGGGGTGAGGGGGGCTGCACACCTGCACGCGTACCTGCATGTACCTGCCAGTGCGCACGCATAAAGTGGAGAAGTGAGCGGGCTGATGGAAGTAGCCCACCAGGACCACACCCTTGAACGGACTACCTTGCAGGCCCTCCCTGCGCACAGTCCCCCGCCCCAGGGCCTCCTCCCTCTCACCTGAGCACGACAAACTGGCCGATGGTGTCCGCCACGTCCCCCGGCAGCCCCTTGTCCTCCGTCATCTCGCGCCGCACCGCCTCCCAGGGCTCCTTGTCCAACTTGTCGATAGCTGAGCAGATGGCGCGGAACTTCTGGGGGGGGACGCCTGGGGGTGAGGCGGGTGGGGATGGAACAAACACAGCTTTGGGTCCAGGGTGGGCGGATACGAGCGCGGGGTACATGGCGGTTGACTGAGTGGTGCTGGGGCTCAAGAATTGCAACCGGCAGGGTCTATGCTGCTTTGCCATGAGATACCAGTGCGTGGCGCCACCACACGCTGATGTGGACGCCCTGCCCTGCTCGAGCGCCTTAGCCACAGCGCCCCACGCCCTAGCCTTGCGGCCCTGCCGGCCCCCACCTGCAATTGCGAGCATCGCGTCCAGCAGGGCCCTGTGGTTGATCTTGATCTCGTAGTCGCCCAGGGCCAGGTCATCCAGGATCTCCACCACCACCTTGAGCACCTCGGAATCAGGCACCATGGCGGGGTAGGCCCCGGCGATGTCAAAGTCGCACTGGAAAAACTCCCTGGAGGCGGGGACCGGGACGGCGAGGTGGCGGGGTCGGCAGAGCAAATGAGAAAAGGTGTGTGGTGTAGAGGCGCAAAGCAGACTTCACTGGGCCTGCCTGGTTCGCATGGTGAGTGAGAGAAGGCAGGAACACCAGGCCCCGCTCCTGACGTCTCATACCCTAGCAGCCCCCGGTCGGCCCGTCAAACCCCCCACCTGAAGCGTCCCCTGTTCATCTGCGGCTGGTCGCGGCGGTAGACCTTGCCTATGTGGTAGCGCTTGATGTTGCCGACCTGGTTGACGGCCACGTAGCGCGCAAAGGGCACCGTGAGGTCGTAGCGCAGGCTCAGCAGCTCGCCACCCTGGGAGCAACAAGGCGGGG